TTGAATTCTACTATTAACATCCCCATCTATATCACCATCGCTTTGAACAACGGACCCAAGATATCTAAAACGTCCACAACTTTTAATAATTTGAGCACCCAAAGTCACACTTCTGTCAGTAGAGCTATTACTACTAAAATTACATTCCATGTATTCAGTTTTAGTTCTACTTAAATGAAGGCCTTTGGACTCCAATGTAGACCTCCATAACTCAAGTTTTTCCTGGGTTTTTTCTCTCGTTTTATCCATGAGAAAGATATCATCAGCAAAAAGCATACACCTAGGTATATCCTCATGTACATGTACAGTAAGACCATCCCTAACTAAAGCAAAAAGATATGGGCTTAAAACCGATCCCTGATGTAATCCAACAAAAATAGGAAAATATTTGGTCAATCCTCCTTCAGTTTGAACACAAGCAACAACTCTAGTATACATATCTTTAATAACTTGAATATAAGTCATATCAACACATTTCTTCTCAAGCACTCTCCAAAGGGTATCTCTTGGAACCTTATCGTAAGCTTTTTCTAAATTAATAAAAATCTAATGTAGATTCTCCTTATTTTCCCGGAACTTCTCCATCAAACCTTTCAATAAATGTATAGCTTCCAAAGTAGACCTGCCCGACATAAATCCAAATTGATTATGAGAAATCTTTTTAATGCGTCTTAACCTATGTTCAATTCCCCTCTCCCATAACTTTAAAGTTTGACACTTCAACTTAATTCCTCTATAATTTGCACACTCTTGTGCATCCCCTTTATTCTTAAAAATGGGGACCAAAATACTCTTCCTCAACTTTTCAGGCATCTTTTTAGTTTTTAAAATAATATTAAAGAGTTTAGTAAGCTAAGAAACTCCCAAATCTTCTAAATATTTCTACACTTCAATTGGGATATCATCAAGTCCTACAAATTTTCCACCCTTGGTTTTCTTTAAAGCCTCCTCAACTTCTATTTTACTAATGCGACGGTAAAAATGAATCGTTTTATTATTATTCACGATATTAAGATCACTAAGGTCGATCGTATTTTCAGAAACTTCATTAAAAAATTTATCAAAATAACTCACCCATCTATGTTTAATATCTTTTTCTAAGAAAAGTACTTTTTGATTTTCATCTTTAATACACTTTACTTGAGTTAAATCTTTACTTCTCTTTTTTCTTTGTTTGGCTAGTTTATACATATATTTTTCACCCTCTTTAATATCTAATCTATTATAAACATCATTAAAACAATTTTTTTTAGCGTCACATATTGTTCTTTTAGACTCCCTGCTAGTTGTTTGATATTTTTTTCAGTTCTTTAAGATTTTATATTTAAACCAATTTTTATAACTTAACTTCTTATATTTTATCTTTTCTTGCACATTATTATTCCACATTCAACTATTTTTATTTATATAAACTTTTTCTTTTTATTCTCCAAGCACATCTTTTGCTATTTGTTTAATAGTGTTTGTTACTTTATCCCACATAAAAAAATTGCTTTTTCATGAACATCCTAAATTTTAAGATCTTGAATTTTGTTCAGAAAAATAATTTTATTTGTGTCTTTTAAGTTCCCCCATTCAATTCTACGATGAGAAGTCCTAGTATTTTTTATTTTACAACTCTTCATCTTAAAATCTAAAACTAATAAACGATGTTGGGTACTTAAATTCTCTCTAGGAATGACCTTACAATCTTTATAATCTCGACGATTTTTCTTCTCATAAGAAAATAATCAAATTGTGTTTTATTAGATCTACTCTTATAAGTAATGCTTATCTCTTTTCTTAAATGAAGTATTAGTAATAACAAAATCATTCGCTAAAGCAAAATCTAAAATAGCTCTACCTTCTTCATTAGATGCTCCAAAACCGTAGCCACCATAAATATTTTTGAAGCCTTCTACCACTCTACCGAAATGTGCATTTAAATCTCGTCCATTAAAAATTCTTTCTTCAAGAGGTATCATTTATATTAAGTCTTCTAAATCATTCCAAAATTTATCTTTAGACCCTGTATCTAAACCTACTTGAGGAGCATAAGCGCTTATAATATTAAAAGTCTTAGTATCAATGATAATCTTAAGGGCTATATTCTATCTCCAACTCTATCAATTTTTACAACATTATCTGTCAAACTTTTATCTATAATTACACCTACACCATTTCTAGCGTGGTGCAAGATGCCCTTGCTATGTTGTATCTGAATTGCTAGAATCAGCAATTCCAACAACCAAATCTTACTATTTACAAGGTCGGTGGCTGCTCGTGAAGCGGCAAGACTTTGGAAAGCTCTTTGAAGTAGCTGCCGGATGGTGGTAACAAGGGGAAATTGAAATTGGTTGCTAAACTGGAGCTGGACTGTGGCTGGTACAACAGGTGTTAAAACTGAAGGTTTGTGACAGTTTTAGCAGCCCAAGTGGGATTGATGGTCAAATGAGAGGAAGAGTGGAAGAAAGGCATGGGAGAGATTGATTGAATTCTATCGCAGCGAATTAGCTCTTTTATAGGCAATTCCAACATAAAATAATTATTAACTTGCTTTCCTGTCCATCTTAATTGACTCCATCATACAAGAGAACTAATTCATGAAAAACACCACACCATAAGCAACTTTATTCACAAATGAAAAATTAGATTACATCAAAATTAAAGATGGCCAAAGTCGTTAGCCTACTCACTCTATTTCTGCAGAAGCTACCCCCGTCTTGCTAGTTTGTCTTGCAAGCCCAGAGTTCTGCATCTCTTAGTTTTGTTGCTGCTTGCCATAGCAATCACTTTTTGCACGGTTGTTACACATGACCTTCAAGCTTCTGTCTTCTATGGATGCAATATACTGGTGTGAATGTCTACTTTCGCTTTGGGTCTCATTTTTTGGGCACTTGCATGCTTGCGTATGACCAGGGCTTTCTTGCTTTGTGTTGCCCGATCGTTCCATTGGCCATCTTTAACATTGATGCCACTTCATTGCATCCACTTCTTGTCCGATTTCGAGACACTTGGCAACTAGGAAGACACTATTTCACCATTTTCTTTACTCTCTGACCATAATAGATTTTTGTTCATCTTGTGTTTTTTGCAGTGCTATTTCTCTTTCATTGATCACTGTTAAGGGATCTTTAACATTTCCTGTTTAATTAATCTCTTTGATTCCCAACTCCTCTTGCAAGGACTTCTCTCATGAACTTGGTTGGTCCCCTAGGGAGGCTGTCACCTCCTTTCTTGCCCCCTGTAATTGTGCCTCCTTTGCCTCACTCATTTGCATATATTATTTGTGGTTTGACTGTTGCAGATGTTTTCGTTTCTTCACTTGATAATTATTCACTTTTTTTTTCACCTGAATTCAATAATTATTCACTTTTTTTTTTCACCTGAATTCAATAATTCAACAACATAAAACAATTTTTATTTTTTCAGACAAGTCTGCTCTCCTTTCTTTTAATGAAAAGATTTCTATACTTACTAGATCTATCGCTCTCATTTTTGGTATGTTATCTATTTTTCATCTTAGTATAGAGGTAATTCACAAATTCATGTTTAATTTTCAATTGATAGGTGCCTTTTTCATTGGGCTCATTCTCTCAGTACATCACAACGTTTTTTTAGAAATAGATTACTTTAGGCTCTTCTCAAGTTGCTTATATTATATCCGTCGCCTCTTGATACACATGTTAAAATGACTTCTCCCACTTTAGTTGTTCTGTGGAGCTTTTTGTTACTCCTATAATTTCATTTTTTTTGTCTGTACTACTTCAGTCAGTCAATCCTATTCTCTTAAACTTTTACTTGTGAAAAATCTTTGAGAATGGATGCTGCGATAGCTTATTTTTTTTGGCCCTTTATGACTAGAGTCTTAGTGAAATTTAATATTACAACTCTTTTTCACAAGTATACGTGGAGTGGGA